GATAGTTTCTATATCACTAAACATCTGTGTTTGCTTGAGTGTATGTGTGTCTTAAATAACATACTGTGTACTCTTATGTTGTTTGCAGAGTACTGAACAGCATCTTCCTGGTAAGATCGCTGTGCTCTTTCATTTAGAGTTGCACTTTTCCTGCCTTCAAATGGTCAAATGGTACTTTCTTACATAGTTAAACTTTGGTTTACTGATCAGTTCATATGAGAGGAAACGAAGACCCAGATTTGGAGGGAAACTTGTTTGATCTAGTAGTAGGGGCAGCAGAATCAGGAGGTAGAGATGACTTGAAATGGGAAGGTCATTTAAAAAGAATGAGTTCTTCACTGAATTATTTGACTTTGAGATGCAGTCATGAACTTTCAGAAGGAATGTCGCAGTGCCCAAGTTCTAACACTTTATCAGAAACTCTTAGTTCTTGCCTTTTAAAATCTTACCAGAAGACAAAATACTTGCTTTCAAAGTTGTCCAGACTCTATGGAATGTCAGTTTAACATTGTAGATATTTTGACATTAGTTTTACACATTAAAAAAAAAATATGGCCTTGTGAAAGAGAATTGATACCAAAGTTCTACCTCCAGCTTGATAGCAATTAATACAAGGATCTTTTCTGGCTAGTCATTAAGCTTTTTTTAAGGCAAATCAGTGGATGTTTTGGACAGAACATTCCCCAAAATCCAGGAAAGAAACACAGCTCCAAGTATCAGTAGCTGATTTGTATGGCCCAAAGATAAAAATATGCCAAGATATAGCAGAATTGCTCACTCTCTACCTTTTCTGTGCTTTCTGGGTCCTCATCATTGTCAAAGAGAGTCTGCATGGAGCTTGCCAGAGTTTTGACAGCTACCCTGGGGGCTAGACTGCTGTGTCTGTCCCCTGTGGAGTGAGGTTTCTAGAAGAAAGACAATACTCTTGAGAATTTCAGAGAAACTGGCTGCCACCAACTGTATTCACTTTAAATATGTACTGTCTGTGTTCCAGAAGGAAATAGCCTTACGCGTCAGCTGCCTATTTGCAGTTGCAATTTATTTCCAAGTAAGGGAAAATTACAAAAATATTTATTTTTTAGCTTACTCAAATATTTATATTCTCTAGTTTCAGAAGTGTTTTGGCTTATTTTTTCCTGATAAACAGCTGTTTTCAAATTCCTCATTCTAGTAGATTATAAATTTAGCTTGTGAACACACATTTCTTCAAGGACTAATTGATGAGGTACTTTAAAGATCGATACATACTGAATTAGAAAATGATTGGACTTCAGTAATTGGTAGTTTCTTTTTCTTCTCCTCTCCTCTCCTCTCCTCTTTTTTTCTCTATCTCTCCCTCCCTCCCTCCTGTCCTCCCACCCTTCCTCCTTCCCTCTCTCTAGGAAATTGGGTTCGATTCCTAAATTTAGGGAAATCGGGTTCCCTAAATTTAGGGAAATGTAAAGGCCTCCCTCCCTCTCTCTCTCTTTCTCTTGTTTCTGTCAGTTTCTTTTCTGATCCCAGAAACTGTAACTTTAAAATTGGTATCCTAAGAGAATTGCCTTGTAAATGCCCCATACTGACACAGTCTCTCAGAAAGGGTATAATGGGCAAAAGTCGGCTTCCACAGTGATCTTACGTTCCAGCAGCTGGTGTGGCCAAAGGTTACCTTGTGGAAACCTGCACAGCCCTTTTGTCCCACTCCCGCTTGTCTCCATCTGCTGGACTCCACTCAAAGCCGATTTCGTCCCCTCTCACTTGCTGTGCTCATGTGCTCTGCTGCAGGTCTTGTCTGCTGCCTGTAGCACTGAAGCAAGGGCTCTTGACTTCTTTGATATCCTTTCCCTGCTCACTTAGGGGTTCTGGTCCCTGGGCAGCACTCCTCTGGTTGCAATAACTGAGACCTAGAATAACAGAGACTCTAGAGCAGATTTAGGGAAATGTAATAAATTTGGGCCTGAATCTGTTAAGTTTGAGGGCTATAGGATTATTAGGTAAAAATGTCTAGGAGATAATTAGACAGATGGGACAGATTAAAGGTAAAGGAAAAAAGAGGGGTTGATGATGAGATCTCTTCAGTGGTTATGGCCTGAACCTTGTCTTCTAAGTGAGTCAGATAATATCATTGGAAGAGGAGAATAGATCTTTCCTTGGGACTGGAGTGGAAATGTTAGTTTTAGTTACTCTAATAGATCTACCTGTGCTTAAACAAATTAAAAAAACAAAACAAAACAGGACAGGAGAAACATTGCTGCTGAAAGGAACAAGAACATTGTCTGAGAGTGAGACAGTAGGTGGAGATTCAGTAAGGTCTAGGAGGTTTGGAGTGGGAAAGAGTATGGAAAAGAGGGGACCTGCCTGCATCCAGAGGTCAGTGTGAGGGCTCCTCCAGGACACCATCTCCACCAGGGTCTGAACAGCTGGAGTAGAGTAAGCGGCAGTTATGGTGTTTCCTTTCAAAGGAAAAGGGAGAGAAACACTTGAAAGTTTGTATCACTAATGTTTTTTGAGGCAGAGGCTGTAGAAATGTGAAAACAAGTATTCTCGGCTGGGCTGGAGAGGAAGAAAAGTAGTTTAATTGATCACTGCATCTCAGCTACAAGCATCACCATGACTCATAAATGTACTTGTCTTCTCAAACATTTATTATTTGAGTATGATAAAAACATTAAATTATTTTCCTTTTAGCTGTTTGTCATATGTATTATCATTGCTGTGCATTGAAACACCAGAACTTACCCTTATATATTCATGAGCAACGTTTCCCCATTTTCTCTTTCTCCCCTCCCAGCCTCTGGTAGTGACCATTCTTTTCTCTGTGTCTGTGAAATCAACAAATCTGAGTGAGATCATGCAGTACTTGTTTGTTTCTGAGTTATTTCACTTACTGTATTGATCTGTAATTTCATTCATGTTGTTGCAAATGACAGGATTTTATTATTTTTTAAAATAGGGTATTCTATTCTGTGGGGAAGTATGGAGGAATTGTATATACTATGTACGTTACAATATTCAGAACAAAGAAATGATCAAAGAAACTCCAGCCTGACGGATATTGTGTGTATATACACCACATTTTCTTTATTGGTCAGTTGACAGACATGTTTGTTGTCTGTCATACATCATTTTGCAGACTTGGAAAAGACGTGCAATAGAGTGCACATGTTTCATGTAAGCTTCTAAAGAATACTTTCCTGTAGCTCTTTCTTCCCACTCTTTTTCCATCTCACTGCCCTATTGCTCTGTCTGTCCTAGTCCTCTACCAGAACCGCACCGGTCACTGAATGGGAGAAAGCTACTACAGTTATGCCTTATTTAACTACCTACTTGTTTAATCACTATTCAGATTTAGGACCAAAGCATGATATTTTGACTAGAAACCATAGTTTGGATTTATGAATCATCTTTTTTTTGAGTATAATTCTTTGCATATTGTTTGTAGAGCCTCATTATCTTTTTTTGTACTGTATACCTCGTTTCTACAGTACTGTCATTTTTGCTAATTGTACTGTATAGTGCTGCCATCTTATGTTCTGTTGTACATTACAGTACTACATGTAAGATTTATGCAAATAAAAGCAAAGCTATCAAGTTGGAGTTTCTTTGATCATTTCATTTCTTTTTTTTTTTTTTTTTTTTGGTATTTTTCAGGAAGGTTCTACAGGATGTTCAGGGTCTCACTACTAGATCAAACTTGTAGTGATTCTCCTGTTTACAACATCCCAAGAGCTGGGATTACGGGTGCGTACTACCCTGACCAGTCTCAGTCGCCATCTCAGTGTGCCCTAGAGATGGATGGGGCTGGCACGGCATGCCTGGGTATCGAGTCCCCAGCCCCTGTGCCTGCTTGCAGGTGCTTTAATCCACTGAGCTATTTGGCTGGTTGATCATTTCTTTGTTCGGAATGTTGTAATGTACATGGTATATACAATTCCTCATTTAGCAATCAGTTCATTTAATAACCTACTTGCAGGATGATACCATGTTCGTTAAAGAAGGAGTGTCTGTATCGTTAATTAAGATTGCATGGCAGGATAAAGAATGCTAGGAAATACAGGCCTTACTGAAGATCTTGGTGGAGGTAGCTATTTTGATTTACAGCTTTTGCACTGTAGTTCAAGCTTTTTCTCCCATGAATTCTAAGTAGCAATAGGGCCATAGTTATTGATATTGTTTGGGTCTAGTAAGTTACACTGAGTAGGTGCAATAGTAATAGTTAATATTGGTGTTCTAGGACATGTTAGAAGTAGATTCTGAATTACATGAATGGTGAAAGTCTGAATGTGATCCAAACACAAATTTTCTTAGTAGTTGTGTTAGCTTTCTGCAATGAAATACCTGACGTAATCAGTTTATAGAGAAAAAAGGTTTATTGGCTCAGTTTCAGAGGGTCTGGTCTGTGAGGCTCTGGTCCATGGCTGGTTGGCCCCCCTGCTTTGGGTCTGTGGCAGCAACTTATGGCAGGAGCCTCTGGTGGAGCAACTAATCACCTCCTGGGCAGGAATCGAAGGGGAAGGGGAAGGGGCTGAAGTCTCATAGTCATTTTGCGAGGGATATCCAAGGACCTCTCACCAGCTTTTCCTTGTAAGGATTCCCCCACTGTCCAGTAGTGCTCCTCTGGGGACTAAGCCTTTAGCACATGGACTTTTGGAGGACAGTCAACACCCAAATCATAGCAGTTATTGTTCTTGGACTAGTGAGTTGGCTTAGATATTCTGTGACATTCATGCCTTGAGACCTGCTTGGTTTTTGTCAACTAGAAATAGCATTCATAAATATGATCTATAAGTTGTATCTTGCAACTTCTTGGCTCTTCATATTTGGCTGTCTGGGGCTTCTGCCTCAAGCGTGTTGGTAAATGCTCTACCACTGAGCTACTTCCCCATCCCCTGAACATTTTTGATAGATACATTATTTGTATATATGAAAGGCTCATGCATTAATCAGTGACCTAATTAAGTCCAGCTATTAGTGTCCTTTCTGTTATCACGAATCCTTATTTAATTCTCTCTGTTGTACAGGTTGAATATAAACTGGGATTCCAAGTAGATAACTTTGTGGCTATGGAGATGCCCCAGGTCAACATTTCTGTTCAGGGGGAAGTCCCACGTACTTTATCAGGTAAGATTCTCAAGCCAGTCTCAAAGCAGAGTTAGCATATTCTTTCACTGTATCTCCCACATCCTGCTTTATAATGGCCAGTTCACTGGTGTGTAGTGTGTCCTCATACATAGAAAATGTGTAAGTGCTGTGGAAAGTAATTTTTTTGTTGGTATTGGGATTTGACTTAGAGCCTTCTTAATTTTGAGACAGGATCTTTCTAAATTGCCAGGCTGGGCTTGAACTTGTGGTCCTCTTGCCTCAGCCTCCCAGAGTACTGGAATTATAGGTGTGAAAAGTAATTTTTATGAATACTTTTTTTTGGTAACATGTTTAAAGACTGTTTCCTGCTTTCTAGCCTTAGAACTGTGTCAGTTGTCTCTCTGCATTGCTGGCATTGGCCTTCACACTAGTTCCTGTGTCTGGTGTTACACCTCTGATTAAATCCCACATCTCACGCTGCCCCAGTGGTCATCACACGCTCACATCTGTCCACAGGCATCCAGCCCCTAACTGCTTGCTCCTTCCTCAGCTGAGTACATTCTAGACGCCCCAGCCTGTGCTCTGTGTCTTTTATTATTTACCCTTGTCTGCTGCACTTGGCCCAGCATTCCAGCAGTTCCTGGTACCTACAGTTTTTGAATCTGTGCTTTTGCACATGCTAGTTTCTGTATTTGGATCTGCTTTTTTTTTTTTTTTTCCTAATTGTGAACTACCCACCCTAGTTATTCTACATGATGCAAAATATGTACTCCTCTTTTCCTGCCTTATTCTCTCCTTCCCATTGTTACTTTTTAAGTTTTTTCTGCCACATAGAAACCAGTACTTAACTGTCTTTAAATTGATTACATCGGTAAAGGCAAACCTTTTAGAGCTTTTGATGTTACAACCAGCCAGTTGTGGCACACATGTCTTACCTTGACCACCACTGGATTACGTTATCTGGTAATTCTCTTAGTGCCTGCAGTAGTAGTTGGTATGGAATAGACACTTAATATTTGTCTGAATAAATACAATAACTGTCTTGTTTATACCAGTTTAACTACTTTTGAGTTAACTTTTTAGGAAGGAACTTGAAGACAGGAGATGTTAAATAAATGGGAATTTTTTAAAAAGTTAAAAATCTAGGCCACAGCAGTGTTGTGGGACTTTTCCTGGCCTTCTTACTCACTGTTATTAGCAACTGACATGTTAATCTTAAGCATTAAGGAATCATAGGAATGCTGGCTGATTTTTATAGGCTAGTAAAGAAGCTCAGAAATGTTTGAGTCACTAATACATTCACGTAGATAGTAGAATGATATGTTTTGAATTTATGGGAAAAGAATCTTAAACTGAAGGATTAAGAATATACACTAAAATTTGTTACCCACTTGTTACCATTTTCAATTATAACCAGTTTCTACTTCAGAAAGTAATTTTTAAATTCACAGATGAGAATTTAAAAGATTTGTTTACAGGTTTATACTTGTTTGCTTATACAGGCTTATACTTGTTTACAGGTTTGTACTCCCTTTTCTTTGACATGCAATCTTATTCTTATTTCGTGTTCTTACAGTACATTTTTCATTTTGGTGTTGAGCTATCTTTCCTTTTTATCATGTCATTTTTGTTACTGTGCTGATGGACTAAGAGGTCAACAGGGTTTGCTTTAGGAGTCTGTAGCTTCAGTGTATTAAAATCAGAGTAAAATTTGAAAGTACTGGTTTCTTTTTGTCTTGTTTGTTCTCCAGTACTTTAATATCTGTAGTGAATGAAATATTTAAATGTCTAAAACTCATAATGATCTAAAGATGTGTCCTGTTTAAAAACTGTTTTTTTTTTAAATTTTTCCCATAATTTTATAGAGAAACAAATAGCAATGAGACAGTTTCAAGCCAAATTGGTAGGACAGTTTCAATAATTAACACATTGTATACATTCTTCCTAGTGGTTAATTGCTGTACAAGATGTGAACATGATATCCTATTTACAAACACTATTAGAACAAATCCCTCTATTCTTTAAGAGAATGTAACTATATATCTATCCTAACCATTTTGAATACACAGATACAAAATGGGCATTCATCTGTGTACCCTTTTTTTGTTAAGTTCTGTTATTTGAATATTATAGGTATGTTAACTCAGCAAAATATTCTAAACGAGTCCAGTAGTCCATAATAGTATTGGGTCTGCCGCTTCACTGGCAGTGTCAGAAATTGTTGACCTGAGTCCCCTACAGAAAAGCTGTTTGTTTTGAATGTATTCTCCCTTTTTTGACTACTGGGAATCAAACTTGGGACTTTGTGTTTGCCAAATTGGTGCTGTGCCACTGAGCTATGTCCCTGGCTTATTTTCAGTTTTATTGCAGCAAAAATCAATCTACAATGGTCAGTGAGCTTTTGTGGGTATTGTTGATTTTCTGAAAATTAAAGTATTTTTTCTTATTCCTTTTAAACAGTGTTTCGGGTCGAGCTTTCCTGTACTGGCAAAGTAGATTCTGAAGTTATGATACTAATGCAGCTCAACTTGACAGTAAATTCTTCAAAAAATTTTACAGTCTTAAATTTTAAACGGAGGAAAATGTGCTACAAAAGTAAGAATTTATTTAATGAAATGTGTTTATGTTGATATAACAAGTTCAGTGATAGTTTGTCTTTTTATACATTTTAAAAAGAAAGAACTCCAGTAGCTAAAATTCTGAGCTTGTTTCCAGACCGTTTATAGCAGGCTTCTCACTTGGCCTCTGCCTTGCTCTCATAGATCATTTCACAGAAGTGCTGGCATGTTTTCCATTAGGAGTATGAAATAATATTGACATGACTGAAGAGTTAAAGAAATAAAATAAATCTGAGAGGGCCTTCTAGTAACCAAGTGTTAACTCTACTTTGCTTGTAAGTTACTGTTATGCAGAGTCACTGCCCTGAGTTAGATGGACTTGGGTTGGAAGGACAGTCCTGCTCTTTTCGGAATATTAATACAGTTACTCTTGGGCTCAGGTTTTTCATTATAAAATGACTGTCATACCTGTTTTAGAGTAGTCTTTTAAAAATTAATTGAAGTTAGCCTAAAACTTAGACTATTGCATGTAGATGCTTAGTAAATATTACTGATTTGTGGTTTCAAATTATATTATCTGATTTTCAAGAAATCACAGTGTATATGAAAGAATTCCAGCAACTTAGGTCATAGATTGAAAATTCAAGTTTTCCTTAAAGGTTATGTAGTCTAACGCACTTGCCCTAAAATGCACAGAAGTAATGTCACCTCAGTTTATTAAGGTAGAATCGGTTAGTACTAAGTTAAGGAAGAAAAATAAATCCCCAAACTTACTGAATGCTTGCCATGTTGTGCTTGTTGAACCTGCATTAACTCCACTTACTCCTTAATAATAACCCTCAGCAGTAGGTTCTCTCCTAGCCACTTATTGAAGAGAAGCTGAGATTCAGATAATATGGCTGACTGGCTAGTCAGACACTAAACCACGTGACTAACTTATAGACTGTGCCTGTGGGTTCTTTGTTAAACTGCCTATCGGCAGATTTCCTAGTTGAAATTTATGCCAAGTGTTATGGAAACACCTGAGGCCAGCTAGCAAGTGGGTTATAATGACAACTGTCCAGACACGTGTCAATGAAAAAGTTATACTGTCTTTAAAATGGATATTTAAAAAATACAGTTAGGATCTTTAGCTTAGTATTTTGGTACATTTTCAGTTTTAGTGTGTTCAATTATATACCTGCCTTCCTGTAATTTTAAAGCTAAAGGAGACTACAGAGGCTCTTTAGTATAACCTAGCTATGTTATTATATTATTGCTATGGGAGAATAAGCCTTAGAGAAGCCACCTAAGCTTGCATGGTCAGTCAACAAGGATATAGGACATCCAGTTCCTAATCCCCACAGAGGTGGGCTGTGGCTGTGCTGTAGTGTTTCATTCCTGACTTTAGAATGATAGCTGAATAGATTTGGTCTGTGGCTCGTACCAACACAGTACACAGTTACTATCTATCAGCAATAATGATCAGTTGATGTTTAGCATGATCCTATACCTTTTTTAAATGTTCACATGAAAATTAATATTAAAATTCTCTGTTAGTATAGTTTGGTATTCTATTTTAGATTTAAGTTTCAGTATTGCAGAATCTTCTTTATATGATGTTCTTTTAAAAGCTCCAGAGTCATCCAACTTATTTTCAGCATTCTATTTGAATATGTGATTCTAAAATATTTATGAGATTTTTTCAGATTATCTTTAAAAAGCTGTCTACAATGAAAACATGTCTGTACTGTAAGGATCATTAATAGGCATTACTGCATAAAACGTTACTTTAATATGAAGGTGGGAATTATGACTCAAACTAGTTTTATTATTCTACAGCTCCCCAAAGTCTCTAAATTCTGGAATGTACTCTATGAGCCTCTATCATACAATATAGGATATGAATTTTTCCAAACTTCTTGATCACAGAAACTCCTTTTCCTTGAGCGTCTATAAGCAACACCCTTTGACTAAGACTGACAGACTGATTATTGATTGATGACTGTACTGCTGCCTATCAGAAAATCAAAGTAGTTTTCATTACTTAACAACATATGTTTTTTTACTTAAGTAGTTCATGTAATGTTCTGATAGAACTCAAAACTGTTAATGGCGATTCAGAAAATGTTATATAGTATTGAAGGATTTTTAATGGAAAAGAAGAACTCTCTAAATTATCTTTTATCTCCTTTTTAACTCAGAACTTGAAGAAGTAAAAACTTCAGCATTGGACAAAAACACTAGCAGAACTATTTGTAAGTGTTACTCTATTCCTTTTCTCCATTATTAGGATTTTAACACTGGTTATTTACATATGAAAATGACTGCGTGAAGCTTGCAGGCCTTACAGTTTTCAGGCTGTCAAATGGCAACACTACATTGCTATTTATTTTCCTCATGTTTTGTAGATTGTTACATTGGTCAAATGAAACTATTACAATATTGACTATTGTAATTAGTCAGGGCGGCACTGCACTCTGGGGATGGAACCCTGGCTGCTGCGCTCTGCCTAAGCAGGCCCTTTAGTCTGCTGAGCTATCTGGCTGGACCTTCTTTTCCTTTTCTACCATGAACACATCACGGTATCTTGTTCTTCTGAGCTAGTACTAATTACCATATCTTCAAAAGATATAAATTCTTTTCTTCATGGAAGTAGACATATTTTTTAAGGGGAAAATTTCAAGTCTACAGAATAACTGTATGCTCTGATAAACCCCCTTATGCCCATCACCCAATTTCAGTAGCAGTTGTTTTGCCAGTATCCTTCCTTGGATTACCTCTTCAGGTTAGCGAAGGAGGGTTAGAGTATTTTAAAGCACATGTCATACTTAGTATCATTTTACCCATAAATATTTTAGTGTAGATCTCTTTAAAAAGGGTCTTTTAAACAATCTAAATCCATAATCACTCAACATGTTCATTTTGATTTATTGCATATAACAGAATTAACAGTTAATTCTTTAATATTCCTTATAGGTACTCCGTGTCCAAATTATCTTGTGTCAAGAGCATCTTTTTAAAATTACCCCTGAGTAAAGATTCAAATGAAGCTTTCTACACTTTTGTTTGATATGTACTGTATATTAATCAGAAAGCACCTCACTCTTTATTAGTATTTATTTAAGGAAGAAATTATGTCATTCGTCTATTGTATTTCCCACATTCTGCATCCTCATGGTGCTCTTTGACATACTTTTCTCCTGCACTGTCAGATAGATTTATTTTTGATTAGATTTAGCATCAACTCTTTTGGCAGGAATAGTTCAGGTGTGGTCTTGTGTACTTCTTATTTATCTGTTCATCACCTCTGGAGGCATAAGACCTTTCTTAAAGGTAAAATAATATGAAAGATTGTCTTTTTTTGGGGGGGGGGTACCGGGCATTGAACTCAGGACCTTATGCTTGCCAGGCAAGCGCTTATTCTACCAAGCTATCTCCCTGGCCTTGAGATTGTCTTTTTTTTTTTTTTTTTCCGGAACCAGGGATTGAACTCAGGCCCTTACGCTTGCCAGGGAGGCACTTATTCTACTGAGCCATCTTCCCGGCCCTGAGATTGTCTTCTTGTTAGAATATTTCATGTGGATTTATCTCTGAGAAGAAAGAAAAAATATTTTTAAAATATCGTTTCCCCCCCAAAGTTTACTTTTAAGTTTCTGGTGACTTAACCCACTTCTTTTATGATGGCAGGTCATTGTTTCCTGCAAGTGGCAATACACTGTATTGTGTATTCTTGGTCTTGTTCTTCTCTTCCTTGCCCCCTCAGTCTTCCCTGCTTTCTTAACTGCCCACTCAGCACTTGCTGGGACTCTGTGATCCACTGGGTCATTGAGTGAGGCAGAGGACCAGTTGTGAACAAGTGCACCCTACTGCTGTGGGTGTGTAGCGCTGCAGGGGAGATGAGCAGGGGAGTAGGCAGCAGTAGCAACATGTCACAGCTCACTACATGAGACAGTAAACACAGAGGGTTTGGGGAACCTGGAATGAGGGAGCTCTCCTCTGAGGGAGAAATAATTTTCTGAGGAAAGTGTTTGATTTTAGACCTAAAGGGTAGTCCCAAGTGGTGACAAGGTGAAATGTCAAAGTGTAGGAATGGGGACATAGCATATGCAAGCCTGGATATTGGAGGTAGCATAAGGCGAATGTAGACAAATGTGCCCAGCAGAACTGTGCCCTGTGCTCTGCTCTGTGCAGCGTTTGTATGGTGCTGCCAGCACAGGCTTCAGGGACTCTCACCTCCCCCCACCCAGTCTGAGCAGCCCTCCTGTGACACACAGGACATGTATGTCCTCATTTAGGCTATAGCCACATCTAGTTGTCCAGGAAGCTGTTTGGTCTTTTTGCTTTAATCTGAATTTGCTTTTTGATCCAAAGTTTGGAATTTTGAAAACAATCTTGTTTTTCATATATCTTTGTTTTTAAAAGTGGTAACTTTTATCTTTTGTTTTGACCCCACTCCAAAACTTCACGATTGTACATCTGTCAGCTTGACATGTCCATATGGAGTGTACTGGGTACTCCAAATTTAACTTGGACAAAGCAAAACCCCTGATTCTCATCCCCCCACTTGCTTTTTCCTCTTTGTGACGATACCATTATTGAAGTAAATTCTTAAGCCAAAACTTTGATTATTCTTTTTTTTTTCTACCTTACTATAATTTATTACCAAGTTCTGTTGATTCTCCTTCCAAATTCATTTATTTTTTATCTTCACTGTGACAGTCTTGGCCAAGCCTCTACTGTCTTCTTGGACTTGCCTAGTAACCTAACTCGTGTCCTCTTCCTTGCTTCTGCTCTTGCTCCCTATAGAACAGTCCTCATCCAGCATGGAATTGATTTATTTTAAGTGATTATGTGTGTCATGCCTTTGCATGGAGCCTTACAGTAATTTGCCATCTACTTAAGATAACTTCAGATTCCTCAGGTTTTATTCAGTAAGAATTACGCCATGAATACTCATTGTCAGAACTGAGGTGGGTGTCCAGGTGCACCAGCTCTGCTTGTTTGTATGCCTTCTCCCGGCTTGCCTGTGGGAATGTGTCTTTCTCTGTGTGTCTCTTCTGTGTTTACTTCTCTGTGCATCTGTCATTAGATTGGTTTTCTATTACTGAGCATTCTTTCTATGTCTTTTAAAAATAATATAAAGCTGTATTTAATTTAATTAACCGACTTTAAAAGCAAAATAATGTCTAATACTATAAAAGGATCTGTATTGTCCAGTATGATAACTACTAACTGTATGTGACCTTTTAACTTTAATTAAAATGAAATAAATTTGAAGCCCCAGTTCCTTCGTTGTGCTGGCTCCATTTTAGTGCCACATAGCCATAGGCGCCAGTGGCTGTTGTGTCAGACTGCACACTATAGAAAATTTACATCTCTGCAGAAAGTTTTGTTGGATAGCATTGCTATAGAGTATTTCATACACTGGTTTAATTTGTGTCGCACTTGTGAATGGCTGTCATGTTTATTCACCAGAAAGTTGCACTTACAACCTTTTTAGCCAGGCATAGTAACACATGGCTCTAATCTCAGCACTTGGGAGGTTGAGGCAGGAGGATCACTGCAGATGTGAGGCCAGCCAGGACTACATAGAGACCTCGTCTTCAAAAAACCTAAGACCAAAACAAACTTTTGAAACTATAGCCAAAACATAAAAATTGTGTGACCTTATATGCCACCTGAGTGGTAACTGATCTTACTAAAGAAGCGGAAATCTTTTCACAAATAACAGGATACTAATGATATATTTTTAAATCAAAAAATGAGAAATCATATTTGTTTAAGAAGTTGAATATATTTTTCATTTTTATTTCAGATGATCCTGTACATGCGGCTCCAACCACTTCTACACGTGTATTTTATATCAGTGTAGGGGTTTGTTGTGCAGTAATATTTCTTGTAGCAATAATATTAGCTGTTTTGCACCTTCATAGTATGAAAAGGATTGAACTGGATGACAGGTATTGTACCTTTTTGGGAAAGGAAGAAATAAGTTATTTGTATATGTGTGAGAATCCAGGCACAAGCACACAGATATAGGAGGAGGGAGGGTAATAAGGAAAAAGGAGATAGCCCAATTACTATCTTTGTGTTTGTCTGATTTTATTTTTTAATTTTTTAAAAGTTTATGAAGCCAGTAACCCTTAATTTTTTTCTTGCTGGGGAAGTATGCATTTCTATCCCCAAAGATGTGATTGTACTACAGATTCCTATTGCTTTTTAAAAGAAATCCCATTTCCTCCTCCTAACTCTCCCTCCATCATTCTCTGTCTGCCCACTCATCCTTCCAGGAAATATTTATTGGATGATTTTAACTATTGATTTTTAACTGTTGATTCTCAGTGTGATTTTAACCATTGATTCTGAGTGCTTACGTGTTTGGGTCCTGAAGAACCTTTTGAAATACACTGATGCTTAGGTCCCACCTTCCTTGAAGTTCTTAAATTAATCATTTAGGGTAGTGTTTGGGCATCACTATTTTCTTAAAGCTTTATAGATGATTCTAATATGCATCCATTTTTATTTTTATTTTTTGTACATCCATTTTTAAATACACCGAGTTAGATATTAACTCTATAAAAGTTAAAGATATACTTCACAGTGTCAAAGATATTGTCTTTGACATTAACCCATAATTACAAGAGTTTATAAATTTGATGATTGTGATATATATTTTATGGTGTGGGAATATAAAAGATGCTTGTCTCAGCCTCAGTGGGTCATAGATGGCAGGAAGGAGGATGTCATAGTCAGGACAGTGAGAAGTAAAAATGGAATGGTAGATGTGTTTGTTTCTCCTCCATGATTCCCAGTTGCTGATGGAAGACATGCCCAGATTCATGACTTGGGTTTGAACTTTTTCTCTCCTTCTTAGCATATCCTGACTGAACTTCCATCAAGTGATTCCTTGTTCCTTATTTTTATCCTATGCTCTGTATAGAATAAAAGGACTTTTTTTCATATTTTCCTTTTATCCACAGATTTCCTTGCATTTCCAACACTGCAAATTAGTCTCTTTACTATTTCTCTCTTCTCTTTTGGTGGCAATTAGTATACTTTTCCTTTTGTAATTTATTGTGTATTTGTCTTATATGTCCTCCTAGAATAGCTCTTTTCCACTGAGGGAGAAGAATGTCTTACTCAAGGCTCAGCCCTTAGTTTTAATACAGTTATGCAGTTAGACTTGCAAGTAGGTAAACATAGTTGTGGCATAAATAAGAACCAGAGAACTGGCTGCATATTTCACCTAAGTGATCTTTGTGTTCACTGTGTCAGCTTTCTTTACTTGAGGGAGAAGAGAAAAGTGTGAAGGGCAGTACTCTGGTGATATTTTTCAGAATAATTTTGAGTACATGGTGGTGTTAAAGTTAGATTTAGACTTCACTGGAGAAGAAATGACATTGGAGGGCTGGCAAGGTAGCTCAGCAGACTGAGCGCCTGCTTAGGCAAGTGCAGGGACTGGGGTTAGATCCCTGGCACCACATGCCATGCCAGTCCTGCCCCTGGGCACACTGAGCCAGTGACAGAGTCTGGGCCTGGTGGCTCACGCCTGTAATCCCAGTGCTGGGGAGGCTGAAAACAGAATCACTACGAGTTCTAGCTGTGTTGTGAGACCCTGCACTAGATAGATAGATAGATAGATAGATAGATAGATAGATAGATAAGAAATGGCATTGGGAAGCAGTTGAAGGGGAGATAAAAGTAGCAGAAATGTGTGTAGGAATTTAAGAAAGCATATAAGTAGAATATAAGAGTCACTAAAGAAAATAACATTAGCAGTCAGTCTAGATGCCCCCAGAAATTTAAATTTCATTGAATGCTTGCTCGCTCTCTCTCTTTCTGGACTTTCTGAGTTTTTAATGAAAATACTGTAAGCTCTTAGAACATAGACCTATAGTTAGTAAATGCCATTATAACCATTTTTCTTCTCAGGAAGTTGCACTGTGCTAGCCATACTTTCTACCTTATCTCTTTCCTATCCTACTAGCTGTTACTAGTGGTGGTGACCAAAAATATCCCATCCAGTAATCATTGGCATTTAAGAGATATCTGCTGCTTCTCAGTCTGTGGGGGAGGGGGGCTTAATGTTCTTGTTTTAAAGATAAAGAAACAGGCTTAAAGAGATTAAATAACTTTCAGGATTGTACTATTAGGACCAGTCGTGAGCTAGACTGATGCATTATTGTAATAGCTGTGTTGTAATAACCTACTGTTACAGCTATGAAGCACCAGGCTCTGTCCCGTATTCCTTACAGTCCTTGGCTCCACCCTGTGAGATTTAATGGAACCCGCAGTTCTGTGGACTTCCTTAGTGGAGGGCTCTTCATTACAGGGATTCAGGAGCCAGTCTCCTGTTATACGGAGAGCTCATTTAGAGTTGCAGAATAAAATTGCTTCCGATCTGTTCATACCAGGGACATTTGGAGGTCGCAGGTTTGGCTTTCCCTCTCCCAGCCCTGCAGATTGATCTTTTCAGTCTCTGTGTCAAGCCAAGGGCATCTGTCTTGGACAGGCAGAGCTGCTCCTCACATTCACCCTGAAATCCTCTCTTGGGGAGAATGATCTCCAGCATAGCCACACTGTGTTTGTGACTGGGAAAGAAAGTGCACTTCTTTTTTGTGGGTTGCTTGAACTTGTGTTTCTAGAACCTTCATTTTCTTTTTCTGTTTCCATTATCTCTACAACCTGACTATCCCTGCCATTATTTGGTCCTGTGGTGACAGCGTCTAACAGAGTATTGACATATAAGGTGCTCAGTAACTCTTGATTGAATGAAGAATGAGTACAGGGAAGCAAAAATCCTGTTTTGTTATACCAGTAATTGTTTGTCCTTTTCAGAATATATCAGCAACTCATGTTTCATTTTCCTCTTCCATGAAAGTGAAAGTATGGTTTTCTCTTATATTGATTAATTCCTTGTTTTCTGAGTTCTCACTGGGGCTCTGTTTGACCCACTTGGGACTCATTTTGCCCTACTGGCTAAGGCTGGGAGGGATGAGACACTTTCCTTGATCTCCTAGGGATTATAGTCTGTTTTGTTTTGTTTTGTTTTGTTTTCCTAATTTGGATGCCTTTTATTTCTTCTTTTAAAATTAAATTTAGCTTTTATTAATTTTAATGGTACATTTTACATATACATACTGATTATACTCATTGTAGGGAGTTTGTACCTATACATGATATATCTTAACTCCCCTTTTTCCCCAACCCTCTCTTCTCCCTTCAACCCCTCTTCCTGTCCTTATTTACAAAGCTTTGCTTCTATTTTATTCAACTTTTTAAAAAATATCTCTTCCTTTCCTCCTTGAACAAATTCTTCCTGTTTCACAATATCTGTTGTACATTTTGGTCCTTATTTGAGGGAAATGATGTGATATTTATACATGTGTGTTTGATTTATTTCACTTAGGAGTATGATCTCATGGTGCATCCATTTACCTAGAAATGCCTCACAAACAACAAACTCATTGAGAGAGAAATTAGAGAAAGCACATTTTTCATAACAACAGCCAGGAAAAAAATGATGTAGGAAGCAATCTAATAAAGGAAATAAAAGATTTATACATTGAACATTATAGTTCTTTGGAAAAGGAGATTGAAGAGGATATCAGAAAATAAAAAGATATCACTTGCTCCTCATAGGTAGGAAGAACCAGCATAGTGAAAATGGCCATACTTCCAGAATTGTTATATAGATTTAGTATGATCCCAATCAAAATAATATTAGCTTACCTCTTTAGAACTGGAGAAAACATCCCTGAAATTCATCTAGAACCAGAAGAGACCTAGAATAGCAAAAGCAGTCCTTGGCAACACAATCAAAGCAGGATGTATCACAATCCCTGACTTGAGATTATACTACAAAGCTACTGTGATACAGACTGCATGGTACTGGCAAATCAGAAAATAAAAAGATACCACTTTTTATCACCCCCAAAGAGGCCCAACACCTTCACTGGAAGAAATATAGCCTCCTTATTAAATTGTTCTGTGCAAACTGGCTTTTTGCATGCTGAAGACTAAAATGACTCCTATCACCATGCACTAAATTAGAGTTTATAGTCTTAGGAATTAAACATGAAATTCAAACTGGAATATAGAGTAGGAAACTTTGTGTTAACTGTTACATCACCAGCACCCACACAGTACAAGGCATCTAGTAGAAACTTGGAGATTGCTATTTGCTGAATGAATGAGCAAATAATTAAATTACACAGAAAAATAGATACTATAATTTAGTATTTTTGAAAGAACATCATGATCTTTACCTAAAATCCTAGCTTGATTCTAAAGCAGGGTTAATTAATATTTCCATAACTAATCTTATTTGCTTGTGAAAATCAAACTAATTCAGGCTGGTCTTAAACTAGTAAGTATTAGCAAATATACATTTTAAACTAATTTCCCACATCCCATGATATATCTATGAAGGTATGGGTCCTAACATGTTGGGTATGTTCCTTGACTGCTCCTTGCTTCTCTTACAGTAGTAAGTCTCAGTTTTCAAAGAAAGTTTGTTCTGCCTGCTTAGCATAGTGCTTTGCTTATTACTGATTTTCTCCTCCTTCACTTGGTACCGAGTGAATGGAATTGACAGATATACCCACCCATTACTACTGCCTGCTTGCTCTCTATGTTCTGAATAGTTCTGAGGTAGCACAAGAGTGCCATCTACTGTTCAGTTGATCTAGAGAAGTGGGATCTGTGCATTAATTCAGCTGTCAGTGATGTTGGTTGCAGGTAGTATTTTAGTTGTGCTTTCACATGCATCATAAATTTGAGTGTCACAGAAATCTCCTGAGACAGGTTTTCTTCATTCCACTTTGTGAGTAAGCCACCTGAAGTCCTTTATTTCCTCCCGTTTTAAGGATGGTAATGCTTTTCTCTCATCACTGAATACTAGACTGCTAACAACTTTGATTGCTAGTCTGATCCTTAACTAGCACTCAGGCCTGGAGGATTTACCCTCTATAGCTCAATATCATTATAAAGATTGAAGATGCATAATTATGATGAAAACAGTAATAATTCCTAAGTATATGTTTGAGAGTTGGGCACTATGCTGAATGCTTTACTTTTAATAATGTTTCATATAATCTTCTTAGCAGTCTTGTCAGGGTTTAGCATTGTAATCCTGTACATGAGGAATTTGAGGTTCCAAAGTGTTAGAATAGTTTGCCTAGGATGCTACCCTAGTAGTGCTGTCAGTCATCATTTCAAGGTTTATATTTTCTGTCTCTGTAATGCACTGCCCCATGCCTACAACACATGTATACTCAGATAGGTCAGGTAGTTTTTACTTTTTAATTGTTTTTTTATTTTTTATTTTTTGGCAGTACTGGGATTGAACTCAGGACCTTGCATTTGCCAGACAGGTGCTTGTGCTGCTGAGCTATATCCCTGGCCCCAGATAGGTCAAGTCTTGAGTAACTGCCTCACTTTGAAGTTCTTCTAGAACTCATCAGATGATGCACTTTGCAAAGTATCTTCAGCACAGTTGCTGAGGAAACAGTGCTTATTACAGTCTCACAGAAAGTAGATAATCTGAAGTTACAGCCAATTTACAGGAAGGTGTATTGAGCATTTCATTAGATAGGCATTTTGAGATACATGGTATACTGAGCAGAAAGACTTATACATAGATGTGCTCTAGATATTTGTGGAGGATAATTCATATCTGAAGTTTTATTGTAACATTTCCAGAAGTGTTTCAGTTATAATGACAGATAACAGATTATATAAAAAAATGCATAGGGGCTTAAAGTACTGCCTACATGTTATAATTTACTTTTTTGAGATGTTATGTATGAGCTCTTGATATGGATTCACATAAGTGTTACAGATTACATAGGTGCTCTGTCATACGTATTTTTAAATGATATTTTGAAAGTACAGCCATTTTATGGAATGTTGTCAGTTAAAAAGTTGGAAAGTTGGAGCCTCTAGACTCTACTAATCCTGTAGCTAAGAGTGGCATGAAAAGCCTATTCTGTCATCTGACTTTTGGTTTGGAGACTCGTTGCTGAACCCAGGAGTTTTACTTTGAGCTATATCCCCAGGTGTTGTTCTGTTTTATTTTGTTTTGTTTTGTTGCCTGGGCTGACCTCAGACTTGCAGTCTTCCTGTCTCAGTCTCCCATAGTTCTGTGATTATAGGCTGCACCACTTGTGCCCAACCTCTGGATTCATTCTTCATGCTAAATTTCTATGGTTTGCTTTTTCACTACTGCAGAATGACAAGGGCTAAGTTCTGGAGACAGGAGTATGTGTGATGGAGACCTTGGGCAATTTTGTTATCTACTGAAAAGACAGGATATGTTTGGCAACCATTAATTTGTGACTCAAGTACAGGATTAGTAATTGTTTGCGTCTACCATCTTCTGAATCTTCTAGTTTATTTAGAGAGTGTGGTATAATACGTTTCAAGTACTAAGAGACTTCTGAGAACGTTCATAATTTTTTTAATTTTTATTTTTATTAGTATATATTTCCAGTACATAATAGTCACATTCTCTACAGGGAGCTGAAAAATGTATATAACACATCTAAATTGTTTTTTCATCCCCGTCTTTCTCCCTCCATCTCTTGGTTTCCTTTCCATTTGCAAAAGGTCTGTCTCTCCACTTTTATTATCTGTCTTCTATTTTGTTCTTTATATTTTGGATTTCTCATATAAGAGAAACTGTGATATTTAAGCTTTATGTCTTATCTCACAACATTATGGTTTTAAGATACATCCTTTTTATGGCAAAGTAGTACTGTACTGTGTAATTTTTTTTATTATTACTTTTTACTATATTTTTAAAAAATCCATTCATCTGTTGATGGACATACTTCCAAGATGTAGTTATTGTGAATTGGGCTGCTATAAAAATGGGTATCATGTATCACTATAATACGAGAGCATCCATAAATTCTTAAAAATTGGTTTGAAAAGAAGAAAAAAACAAAATACACATGACTAAAACCAGGTATAATCTCAATATTTGACCATATTGTCATTTGATTTGGTTTGATATCTCACATCTTTTGGCCATTTGATTTGGAGCCATCATTAAAAGTGGTCTGATGGACTGGGTATGTTGCTCAGTGCTTGCCTGGCAAGCATGTGGCCCTGAGTTTGATTCCCAGTACCCCAAAAATGAGATAAAAGTGGCCTGACTTTCTACTTTTGTAAAAAGTGGCTCACTTGAGTAGTATGGTCTTTTTTCTTGAGAGGTGATCCCTAGTTTCCTACCCTATCTGTCAAAGGAGTTTCAGGCCTGCTGCCTGAGAACTAGCACCTACATTTATGAATGAGTTTGGTAAAATGAACTGGCTTGATGAATTTGGAGGTAGAAATGGAAGAAAAAAATAAAACTGTACACAGTGAAAGAAATTAATGTTTTTAATATGAGACACTGTGATATAGACATCCATGCACTATTACAATCTCCAGTCAGGACTTTTAATAGGTTATAATGCAGTGTGCATTTTGTATGTATGGAAAAGAAAATGTCATTGAAACCAACTTGTCAAATATTTCTGTCTTAAAAATTATTTGTAGCGTCAGTGCCAGCAGCAGTTCCCAGGGGCTGTCTCAGCCCTCCACCCAGACAACTCAGTACCTGAGGGCCGACACACCCAACAACGCAGCTCCAGTCACCAGTAAGAGTCAATTTAATTCTGACGTGGCTACCAGTGTCAGTGGCCCTTTGTATGTAATGTATTTGTGGGACATATGTGATATCTAACCGGTGCAAATTAGAATCTTTTCTTTTTACTATAGTAATGTGAATGAAATATTCTAAAATTTCAATATAAATTACAAAATTGCTAAGATGAGTTTTGAGACATCCGTAATTATACTACAGCCTTATGAAATGCTGTAGAAGAAATGCAGAAGAAAAGTTTTCAAGTAGTTCTATAGAATAAGCTATTCAGCTACATAAACACAGAGACTCTGGGTTTTATCAAATTGTATGATGGTCTGATAGGGTATGTAAAATTTTACAGTTTTCATTTGTTTGGTGCTGGGGATTAAACCAAGGGCTTCATGCATGGATGTATTCTACCATGAAATTATAGCACCAGCTCTCTGCAGTGATTTTTTTTTTTTTCTTCGAATGACTTCAGGGCAGGTTTGGCTGGCTTGAGTTGTGGGGATCAAACCACAGCAACCTGAGCCTGACTGCTTTGTTGAAGCAGCCACTTAAAGAACTGAGCTAGGGGCAGGCCCTCTCGGCAGTGATTTCTAATCATACTACGAAGCTTGCTACTATTGGAAAATTGAGAACATGAGACCTAATTTCCTTTCATGAAACAAGTTATTGATAAGTTTTTATGCACTTCAGTATATAGGTATAGTAATTATTTTTTTAAAGATTTTAAAAAATGTTTTATTTATTTGGTACAGGGTCTCGCTGTACAGCTCAGACACATAGTGATCCTCCTATCTCAGCCTCCCTAGTGCTGGGATTACAGGTGTGTACCACCATGCCTGGTCTTGGTGGCTGGCTCAGTGCAGGACCAGCACGGCATGTGGTACCAAGGATCGAACCCAGATCCCTGTGCTTTCCAGGCAGGCACTTAGACTGCTGAGGTATCTCCCCAACCCCTTATTTTTTAAATTGTGGTTGACAAGTTTTTGTACACATTATTTTTTTTTTAAATTATTTATTTATTTTTATTTATTACACTTATTTATTGTGTGTGTGTGTGGCCAGCTCAGCCCACCAGGGGGCGGGGCTGGCTGGCATGTGGTGCTGGGGGATCGAACCGCGGTCCCTGTGCTTTGCCAAGCTTGTTTCAAGTAGGTGCTTTAGACCACTGAGCCATCTCTCCAGCCCCTTGTACACATTATATACTATGTGATTGTCCTATTTTTCATGTTGCTAAGACAGAATACTAAACACTTAAAGGAGGAAAGGTTTATTTTAACTCACATTTTATAGAGATTTCAGTTCATAGTCAGCTGGCTGGCTGTAAGGCAGGATGGCATGGCAGAAGAACAATTCATGGCAAGCAGGGCAGGCAGAAGGCAGCTAGCAGTGAAGTAGCAAGCAGAAAGTGACGACAGGGTTTTACTGTGAAGTTCAGGCTGACCTTGAACTCCCTTTATAGCTTAGGCTGGCCTCAGGCTTATAGTAGTTCTCCTGTCTCAGCCTCCCAAAGGCTGGGATTACACATGTGCACCACCACGCCCAGCTATGTCCTGTCACTCCAGGCCAGGGTTGGGTTTCCCGTAGTCCACACCCAGAACTATGCCAAACCAATCAGTGGACTAATTTAGTAATCACACACCTCTGATCCCAGCATCACAGACACCAGGTCAGCCACCTCTGAAAAGCCCCACCTGCGACCACATAAGGCTTTGGGGGCACCTATAGATAAGCCATAACAGTGAAGTGATATATGTATACACTGCAGAATGAAACAGTCAGTTCTCAAAGTATACTTTACATGAGAGATCAGTTACATAAAAGTATAAAACAATATAATCCGCAAATAAAGAGTGGGCCAGAAAGCCAGAGGTTATGCTTGATTCAGTGGTACAGTTTCTTATTTAGGATTTTATAGGATTACCTGTCTTACTTGAACTGACATTTACACCTAGTAAAATATGGCTAGGAATATCTGCCTTCTTCTGATAGTATTGTAATTCTCAGTACTATTTCCCATTTAAAACAACAAGAATTCTCTGGACAAATGGCTGGTTCCAGGTCAGGGACAAGCTAGTAAAGACTTGAAGAGCTCTCATTGGCCAAAGGTGGAACCATCAAAGAGAAAGAATAGTAAATACAATAGATGGAAACATGCAGTGTGTAGTACTTTGTAAATAAAAATTTGTAATACTTTTTAAAAATTGCTAGTTATGAGAGATGACCAAAGCTCTATTAGTACCTCATTCTAACTACTGTTGACATTAACTATATTTCAGGGTAGCCAGATAGTGTTGTTGGAAGAGGGATGTTTCTTTATGGGAGATTCCCATCTACTAAATGTAGAAAGAATGATAAAATTAGGAAATCACATTTGCACCCTCTAACAAAATATTTAATTCAGGAAAGATCATGAGTGATTAAAACCTTGAGAATAAAGGGATGTAGAGAACTTTACCACTGAAGAACCACTCACCCTCTGAACCCACTGATAAAACATAGCATTGCCAAAAGCAGGGCAACTGGGTGCTTTCTACCCCTGGCTGGGCTGTGCATCTCCTGGAGTGTTCTTGCCTTCCCTTTGTTCCAGTCCTCTGGCGGCCAGTGGAGATCATTGCTTGGGTGTACTAGGTTTTTAGGCATTTCTTCCTGGAATCTACCAAAGCTAATCATTAGAGATGTCATTCCAAATTCTGTTGGGTAGCTTGAATCTACCTTTTATCCTAACATTGTTTTCTTGGATTGAAAACTTTAATTTGGGGCTGTATATTTTCGTTTTTCTTGTCATTAATAAGTAGGAATTAAAGAAGTTTAAATTTTAATCTACAGTTGTGTGACTAACCTGTGGGAATGCTGGCATAATTATATTGATAGTTTGTTTAGAAGAGATGTTTTTTCAATCATTTCATTTGTGTCTTGCTTTTTTTAATTTTTTTTTTTTTTTCTTGTTACTGAGACAAAATACCCAACACCCAGAGTTAAGGAAGGAAAAGTTTATTTAGTTCACGGTCTATGGAGGTTTTGGTCTGTACTTAGCTGGTCTGAGGCAGGATGGCACATGGCAGCGGGCAGTTGTTCATAGCAGCAGACAACAGCAAAGAGCAAGAGGCAAAAAGGGAGGAGCAGCAGCTTCAGCAGCTAGCAGGCCTCTCTCACTTCCTTATATTGTATTCAGGCTCCCTCCCCAGGGCAGGTGAAACACTCACACCCATAATCCCAGCCTTGGATCATGAAGTAATCACAAACTCTAGAAGCCACCCCAGTGACTTCATAAAGCTTGTGGGGGACACCTAGACACAAAACCGTAACAGTTTGTAAAAATTTTTTGTTATGTGACTATATTAAAACATCTTTCAAGAGAAAGGACTATCCTGAGGGGATTAAATTACATTCTGTGAATTAAAGGTTGTTTCATTTGGTTGAGAAGCATTTGAGGTAATGGTAGTGATATTATTTTTAGAATTGTTCTAATTGTGTATTTTAACATTTGGGGATAGTATTTTGGTAGAGAACAAAGCATTTAAGATTTAGTGTCCTTTAAATGTCACTCTCTGGTTCATGTATATGCCTGCTTCCTTTCAAGTTTTAAAGTTCTGGCTGGACTAATTGACCACACTGCCATAATAAGGGTATTTATATTGCTTGGTTTGGCTCTGTTGGCTCCTCAGGTTATCCTACCTTGCGGATAGAGAAGAACGACCTGAGAAGTGTCACTCTTTTGGAAGCCAAAGCCAAGGTGAAGGATATAGCAATATCCAGAGAGAGGATAACACTAAAAGATGTTCTCCAAGAAGGTACTTACTATTTCAAAGTCAGTTTTTTAAAAGAATGATTTTCATTTTTCCTTTCTTTAGATTTTAATGTATAGCTTTGCTGCATTTCTTGATTTTCAGGTATACAAAAGCATATATATATGTGTGTGTTTGATACCTTAATTAAGTTGTCTATTTTGTTATTAAAAATGATCACTACATAGAAGTGATCTTTGAAATATTTGAAGCTTTTTCTGTGATAAATAGTATGGGGATTCTAGTGGGTGAAATGGGGCTTTGGAGTTAGACTCATGTTCTAGTTCTAGGATTTATTACTTGTGTGACCTTACAGAAATCATTTGATGCTTTAGATTTTCAGTTTCCTCTTCTGTAAATATAGATTGTGGTATATATTCTTTGTAATTCTTAGACTATTTACAAAGATTAGATGAAATGATGTAGATTACATCAGTTAACAAACACATAATATTTGACAGATGGTAGTACCTCTTTCTTCCCCTCTTGCTGGTGCTTGCTTTAATTTTTGAGTTTTAAGATATTGATTAGGGAGATACTCAAGGATGGGGACAGAAATTAATGATGAAATATTGCATTGAGCCCTTCACATTGAACAAAGAATCACTATTTTGCCCTGTTATAATTTAGGTTAGAATGTTTTGGGTTCTTAGGCGTACCACTCATAGCTAAAGAAGGGACTTAAACCTTCCCCAGGAACACATGATCATTAATGGAAGCAGGGTTTTTTTTTTTTTTTTGACATAGTTTTCGCTGTATAACTATCATTTCTGTTTTCTAAGTATAACTAATTTTTGAATCTATCTATGGTCTAAAGAGAGTAAGTAAACCAGATAGCATTTCTTGAAGAGTCAAAGAAATGAGAGATAGTGGTTGAAGATGTTTGCAGCTTCTTTTGGTCTTTAAATAGGATAGTAAAAGTAATTTATTATGGTGTAATTTGAGGAAAAGAGAAAATTCAGAAGCACAGTTTTTCTTGACGTTATCAGGGCTCTAATAGATCCCCCCCCCTTTTTGGTATTGGGAATTGAACTCACAACCTCGCACCTGCCAGGAAAGAGCTGTGCCACTGAGCCCAGCTTTTAAACTGTTGCTTATTTCAGCAAAGAAAACATGGCTGATTAACATCTTAAAAAGGGTTAAGGTTCACTGGACATCTGATAGCACAGATCATACAGGAGTATCATGCCACTTTTCCTCTGTCAGATTGGGAAGAATTAGAGATAGATACTCTCCAGGCTGACAGGGTTATGCGGAACAAGCTGTTATGAACATTGCTGGTGGGAATATGAATTCCTGTGGCATGGTAAAGTAATACATGTATAGAAGGTACTTCAGTATATGTTCCCACCCCCACAGTAGTTGTTTTTAAGCATATGTAAATTCATGTTTGGGAGTATTTTAAATAGGATTGAGATACACGGAAGAGGAGACAGGATAGGGGCTTTTCCAGTGCTGCTTTGAGAGTTTGAAGAAACTGAATGGAACAGAAGGGAAGACCTGAAAGAGGAAGACACTACTAGGTCAGGGTATCAGCTCTGACAGTGGATTGACTAGTATACTTGAAGGTGTTTACTCAGCTCCATGTGGATTATCTGAAGGAAAGATTACCTGAAACTTTTCTCTCAAGCACCCACCTTATTCTGTGTGCCACAGTGAGACCTGATAAATGGGCACCACAGCTTCAGCATTGAGTGTGGCAGACACTAAAATAAGCCTCTTTTGTATGTGTGTGGTGTCTTCAGCAAAGCAAAACGGTAGCAGGCTCTGTGTGTGTGTGTGTGTGTGTGTGTGTGTGTGTGTGTAAGGAAGGAAGGATAGAATTATCTTGTTAGAAAGAGTAGTAGCACAAGATTAATTTTCATTGATTGCCTCATTAAAAAGCCTTTTTTAAGCAGTTAAAAACTGTGTGGATTTTTATAGGTTTTATTTTTTGTTGCTGGGAATTGAACTCCTAGCCTTTGCCCTGAGATGCATCCTCAGTCCTTTTTTATTGAGTTACATCCCTAACCCTCATTCAGTTGCCTAGGTGATATATAGTTCATTTTTTCAGTCACTTCTTTGCCGCCAAAATGGTCATAGCTTCTCTTCTCCACTTTTTTTTTTTTTAATTTTTTTTTTTTTTTTTAATGTGTGTGTGGCCAGCTCAGCCCACCAGGGGGCGGGGTGGGGTGGCATGTGGTGCTGGGGGATTGAACCGCGGTCCCTGTGCTTTTAGTTTGTTCTAAGTAGGTGCTTTAGACCACTGAGCCATCTCACCAGCCCCATAGCTTCTCTTCTTTAGGAGCACATTTCACCAGTAACTTGTGGGGCCAAGCAGCTTGTGAGACCTTCTGAGAAGAGAGCAGTAGGAAGACCGGAAGCCAGGCTGTGTGCATCTGAGACTTGTGCCCTCGAGGCTTCTCAGCAAGTTACTTTTTAAAGTTTTGCACTAGTATAGAGAGGATTTATTTTTCTTCAGCATTGCTGAGTCTAATTTTAGCAATTAAAATGGCTGTGGAGCTCCAGTGTTCTGGCTATTACTGGTTTACTTAGGTAGCTGAGAAAAAGTTCTCATATGTTTGATTTAGATATGATGTTTCTCAAAACAGGTTAAAACATTTCACAGTTACAGAGGACTTGTAATATTTGTTTAACATTAACAGTTTTGTGTTATTGTGCGCTAGGGCTAGAATGATGTTGTTAATCACATATACTTTTGTGTTTAAGTTTTATCAGGATAGAATGCTTTGTATTGTAATGTTTTCAAAGCTATTGTATGATCTCATTAATTGTTATTTTCTTTTTAGGTACTTTTGGGCGTATTTTCCATGGGATTTTGGTGGATGAAAAAGATCCAAATAAAGAAAAGCATACATTTGTAAAAACGGTTAAAGGTAGGGTTTTTTTTTTTCTTTTACTATACTACTTCTGTAATGCTTCCTGTTATTGGCTGATATCAATGAAATTATATCAGTTTCTCTAGACCTTATAAATTAGTCCATATTTTAGCTTAGATGAGGCTGATTTTTGAAGAAATTTGGGTTGTCCTCATTAAGTATAGAAATAGAAAGCTTTGTAAATTAAGGTATTAAAGTTACTAGTTATTATCTCAACTTCTAATTAAATTGTATCCACTTAACTTCATTGTTGCTTTAATTAAAGGAGAAATCCTGTGTTAAAACTCTTTGCAGCCCAGGCATGGTGGCACATGCCTGTAATACCAGCACTGGGACAGCTGGGGCAGGAGGACTGTCATGAATTTGAGGCCAGCCTAAACTACATAGCAAAATTCTGTATCAAAAACAAACAGATAAGCAAAATGATAATGTTAATAATGGAAACAATAAAAAATCCCAAAACTTTTGGTATCATCTCTCCCCCAAAGACATTGCCTCTTGTCTTTCCCTCCCAGTATTGCAGTCTATAAAGAAGAAATTAAAATGGCCCTCAAACCCACAGTACCTTAGGTAGATAGGCACTGTTCCCTTTCTTTCCTTCTCCCCTCTTTTCTCTTAGACATTGTATGATGTTCCAGAAAATGCACACGCATGTGTATATTTCTTGGTATACTTTTGCAGGTGTACCTATAATGAAGTTGCAATTGCTAGTCCAAATAATATATACATTTAAAATTTATTTTATATTTTATTTATTTGTGTTTTAGGGAAGGGTCTACAGGTGTTCAGGGTCTCACTACTAGATCGAACTCCTAGTGATCTGCCTGTTTACAGCCTCCCAAGAACTGGGATTACAGGTGTGCACCACCATGCCCAGTCTCAATTGCTGTCTCAGCGCGCCCCGGGGCATTGCTGATTTGGCAGACTGGGGATTGAACCACTGCACTCTGCTCCTGCTTGCAGGCACTTTAATCCCTTGAGCTGTTTGGCTAGCCCTACATTTAAATTTTAGTAAAACTTGTCTGATTGTTTGCTACAGAGCACTTGTTCGTATTTTCATGATGAGAATATCTGCTTTCACATAAACTTGCACTACTTTTTGGAATGTGATACCAAATTTTGGTTTGTTGATTTATGTAAATTACTGAACTAGAGATTCCCTATCAAAATACTACGGAATTATTTATATATAGCTTTGCTCCTATTACCAATAAATAAGTGACTCTTAAAAAATGTTTTAGAATTTTAGTTATTTGCAACTGATATTTGAAGGCTTAAATAATTCTTAATTTTTAATTTTTGCACTTATAGGGATTAAATCCAGGCCTTCATTAATGCTAGCACTGTATCTCCAGTTAGTTAATTCTTTTTATTTGCTCATTTTGAGAGTGAGGAAAGTGTGGTCCTATAGGGTGCTTTATAGTGTCTGATATAGTTTGATATAACAAAGTATTAATTTATGAAAAGCAAGTTAGTATGTAAAAGACAAGTTGAGGGAAAACTCAGACTTTTATGGGTAGGAGGTGACAATTTTAAGAGATTTATAACATTAAAAAAGCCATGTTTCTAAATTTACTTAAGAAAGGAGTACTTGGAAAGTTTGAAGGGTTTATGTTTATTGTTTCTAAAATGTCAGGTTGTACCAATCTAAAACTTCAGAATTTAATTGCCCATAATTTAGCAGATTGCTTATTTTAAGGCTTTTATAAAAATATACTACACCCCCCACACACAACCTATATCTTTTTGTTTTTTAATTCTTTCGATTCAGGGTCTCACTACAGCTCAGACTCGTAGTGATCCTGTCTCAGCCTCCCCAGTGCTGGGATTACAGGCCTGTGCCACCATGCCCGGTGGTGCACCCACACCTTGGCTGCCCCCCAAACAGTAAGCTTTTCAATTAATTTTGAAGGATACCGTACATATTTCCTTTTGTAATTGTAAAATTTGAACCATAAACAACTGCCTTTTGTTTTCCTTTTTTTTTTTTTTAAAGGAAACCTTTCCCCTTAATTCTTATGTTTCTTTTAGGATTATTAAATATTCTATGGATGGCTTTGAACTAAGCTATTTCTGATTTGTTGTGTTTGAGTCTGGAATTAACAAAAGGAGGTTTCCATACAGAATTGGGCTGATTTGAGACTGGAAGGGGAAGGAAAGGAAACAGGAATGATAAGAAAATACAATGTGAATACTGGAACTCTCACAAGATAAGGGTTCTCCTTCCTTGTGTACTTGGATTACAGTTTCTTGGCTGTTTCCCTGCCGTGCTGTTGTAATTCTAATGTTCTTTCTGAGCTGACGGAAATGAGAGAAAGCACAGTAAGTCCTTAGCCAGCATATAGTCACTGTTTGCATGAGGATGGAGAGGAAGTGCCCCAGAGCTCTGGCGCAGAATTGTTAGAGATAACTCCATAGGATTGTTGCTGAGATTTGTTCTTTTGGAATGTTATTTTTATTTTTCGCTACTAGAGCTGACTGAGTTTCTTCACAAATCTCTGTGCTTTACCACTTGCACAATTAGAAGTTCTGTGTGAAATGCAAAAGATAGTCTTTTAAAGTGCCTTGATTTTTGCCTTTTAGGCGTAAACAGGAAATTGGAGATTTGCTTTTTAAAATTTTTTAAATTTTGTTCAGACTGAATAGATATTTCAGTATGAATTTCCTGATATTAAAATTGGGAACCTGAATCTTACATAAGTATTATGAAAATGAATTCCATGAAACAAATGAATCAGTTTGGGATTATTGGCTTTAAATTCTTATTTTCTTTAATAGTTGGTAAATTTTTACAATTTTAGAAATAAGGCTTTTTCTTTATTGTTTTGTGCTTATTTGTAATGGTTTAAAATGTAAATTAACCTTTTGGATTTTGAGGATGGGCCTTTCACCATTTAAAATTAAAAGACCGAGTCTAGACTAGGAAAGAAACCAAGAAAATCCATTTTTCTTAGTAGCTATAATTATTTTTCCCATAGTTAAAATATCTTACATATCTAGTTCAGTTGAGCCTTGCTTAATAAAACATCCTTATCAAAATTAAACTTGAAAAAAGTATATATAAAATAACATATCCTGAAATGAACCTTTTGTTGTACTTGGATCTCCTTAGTGGTTGAGGATAAGTTAAACTCATAACTGGGTGGGACTAGCCATGTTTGTTTTTTAACCATAGAGAGTTAAGAGATATTATGATTTGTGTCTAGTTGTCCCTTCAGAGCCTCATGCAGTCATGGGGTGGACTTGGAGTTTGTGATTAACTCATGTGCTGCTGGGGTTATGGGTGTGGGAACTGCACCCCGCCTGGGCTGGATAGCCTGAATGCAACACAAGGGAGACAGACTTGCTCCTTGCTCTCGGTAGCCACTGCTGCTGCTACTCCTCCATTTTTTTTCTCTGCTCTTTGCCCTTGCCATGAAAGGTTGCTCTCTGCCATGTGCCAGTCTGCCTTGGAGCCAGCTGAGTGTGGCCTGAAACCTCTAGTAACTGTGAGCTAAATCGACCTTTCCTTCCTTCATTTTGAGTGTTGGGTGTTTGTGCCAGCAACAAGAGAAGAGTGACTGAGACAAGAAGATAACAGTAAAAAGGACCACATTCTCCAATCAGAATTCTTGTCATTCTTTATAGTTGCATGTTTGTAGGTTAGAAAATGTAAGAAGGGTACAATGTGTAAATTCTTCTATCAATAAAAGTAACCACCATAAACAGTGTCTTACAATTTTCTTCACAGGCAAAGGAAAAAAATGTTCCCAAATACATATTTTTTCAAGTAATTGTGTTTTTAAAACCTAGGGGATCACATAAATAGATGTTTGACCCTGGATTTTAAAGTTTAATTTGTGGGACTGGAGGATAGCTCAGCAGTATAAATACCCGCCTGGCAAGCTCTGGGACCCAAGTTTGATCCCCAGTACTGCATGCTGTGCTAGCCCTAGAACTGCTACATAGCGAGACCCTATATCCAAAAAAATTCATTTGTAGTTTTTTTTTTTTAAACAGATCCTATCTTTTAAAATTGGTTTTTGTTGATTTTGAAGATCAAACTCAGGACCTTGACCACACTAACCAATTTCCACCACTGAACTATAATTGCAGTCCATATCTATCTCTTATTTATTGATTGATTGATTGATTGATTGTGGTACTGCAGATTGAACTCTGAACCCTGTGCTTGCCAGGCAGGTGCTTATTCTACTGAGCTATCTCCCCAGCCCCTATCTCATTTTTAAAAAGGAACCACAGAATATTCCAATGCACAAATGTAATTAGTTACTGTTGATGTTACTTTGATTGTTTTGAGTATTCCAATCAGATTGATGGTGCATTGTATATGCTTTTTAATGATTTGTTACATGTTGCTTCCCCACCTACCCAAAACCCTATTGATGAGCCCTTTTCTATGTACTCTTCCACATCTGCTACTTCAGTTTGTATTTACTTAGGAGTAAAGCTGAGAATCATTTCTGTAACTTTGTTGGTCATTTGTTTGTTTATTTGTTTGTTTTTTCTCTCAACAAAATGTTTATGTCCTCTACCTGTTTTGTTTTCTTTGTTTGAGACAAGGTCTCACTATGTAGTTCAGGCTGGCCTTGAACTTGCTATGTAACCACCAGGATGGTCTTAAGCTCATGGCAGTTCTCATTCCTTAGCCTCCCAAGTGATGGGTTATGGGCTTGTGCCCATCACTCCTGGTTACAGCTCTTTATAGGAAAAAAAGCAATTATCCCTTTATATGACATATGTTGTGTAGATTTTTCCAGTATTGTTTCTACTTCGTTGAATTTCTAATATTTATGTAAAAATTTCTGTGCAAGTTGAGCTATTAAGTGTGGTTCTTGCTACTGCAGTCACTTAGGCTAAATCTATTTATATGTACCTATAATTTGTATGGGAATTTACTTTATTATCTAAGATAGTAATCCTGTGCTAAGATGATATATGTAACTATATGTCTGTATATGGAATGGCCTTTCTGAATGTTTCTTTTCTGTGCACAGATCATGCCTCCGAGATCCAGGTGACCATGATGCTGACAGAAAGCTGTAAGCTGCGAGGTCTTCACCACAGGTAAGAGCAGAACCCCAGCATTCCAGGGTTAACCTGCAAACATTTATGCTGCATTTTTATTTGAAGAACATTGTAATAAATTCTGAATTTAAATTAGATTAGCTGAATTTTTGCTGAATATAAAATATGTGCTTTTCATACACATTTTACAAAGCACAAAGAAGAAAATACAGAAATAAGTTTGTGTGTCTGCTCTGGATTATCATACCAAGGCTTCCCAAAATTATTTGTACCTTTTATCTGCATACTTCTTTTTTTAAAAAGGAGGATGGGTGGTAGACATACGTTAAAAAAAATTCGTGTCAATAACTATGAATCTTTGTCAAATTTAAGAAGGCTACATAGTTCCAGTCCCACCAAAGAAAGGTTGGGGCTATAATAGTTCACTAAATGGCTCTATGACATTTTATTTAATCCCTTATATATGAGCATTAGATCAAAGGATGATTTTAAAAATACATGTAATTTTAGTTGTGTGTGAACAGCTTTTTTTAAACAGCTTCCTTTTGCTTTTAACCACAAACCTTTAAAGAAAACTGCCTTTAGAACCGAGAGATGCTCATAGTATTGTAATGTGCTGTAGTATTAATGTCAAGCCAAAGATTTTTTTTCAATACACACTGTATTGATACCAAGTCATCTTAATTTCTATGCTAATAGAAAATTTTATAGCATGTTTAAAAAATAAAATAGTGTTTTTGTAGAAAGATGTTCATGGACTTCCAAAAATACAAATCCAACGTGATGTGTAGAAACGCACCATATATTTTAATTTCTTTATACTTTTGGCAATTATTGATGCTCTGCTAAAAAGTAAAATGAATACATATGGAGCAGTATTTTTGAACTTTGTTTATATTTTGGCTTTTGAGGGCCTAAAGGGTAGAAGCTACATTCATATCAATCAACTGCCCTCCCTCCCTCTGTTTCTCTTGCTTTCTCTCCAGGGTCTCATGTAATTCAGGTTGGTTCTACCTGTGTAGCCCAAGCTGGCCTTGAGCTTGTGACAATTCTCCTGCCTCAGCCTCTTGAGAACTGGGATTACTGGTGTACATTTGACTGTTTCTCCTTTTTAAACATATAGTTTTAGAAGCAGAATTTACTGCAGGATAGAAAAGATTATTGGTCTCTTTGTATTTATTAAATATTTATTAAATGATTATTTTCTGTGACACAGAACACAAAACATTGAATAGTTGGTGGTACAGGGTCTCATTACACAGCTTGGACACATAGTGATCCTCTTGTTTTCAGCCTCCCCAGTGCTGGTACAACAGGAGTGTGCCACCACACCTGGTTATTTATAAGCATGAAAAATTAAGACTGACCAAGAGATAGTCACCCAGATAGGAAATGATAAGTCTAATTGTCTGAAATCCGATTGTAATTCCTATTTGATCAGCTAAAGATTTCTGTGTGCTTTGGCAATTTCAGGATCTTGAGGACCTTTTTTGACTATCATATTCTTGTCCCCATTCTGTTGTTTTTGTTTCTTTAAACATGGCTGTTGGTATGATGGAATACATTATATCTTTATCCTTTCTTTTTTTTTGTTAATACAGGGTCTCACAGCTCAGCGTGCCCAGGTTTCCAGGCACACCATGGCATGTTGTACCAGGGATTGAACTCGGGTCTTTGTGCTTGCCAGGCAGGCACTTAGACCACTGAGCTATCTCCCAGCCCTATAGGGTCAGATCCTTTCTTTTTTTGTTGTTGTTGATACAGGATCTCGCTACACAGCTCGGTGTGCCCAGGTTTCCAGGCACAGCATGTGTATCTTTAATTAAATGTTGATGTAAAGATTTAGTATGGTATTCGATCCACAGTACCACATACTGTGCTGACCTGGAACCATGTGTGGTGGCACACGCCTGTTGTACCAGCACTGGGGAGGCTGAAAACAAGAGGATCACTATGTGTCCAAGCTGCGTAATGAAAACGCTGTACCACATACATTAAAGATAATAATGATGATAAGATTTTGTATGGTAGAATGTATCTTCAGAAAATCCCATATGTGGGACAGAGTGTAATTTTATAATTTTAATGATGTTTCTAAATATATTTTGAACTTTTAGTTTATTTTTATCTAAAGTAAACTTTTAAGATTATAGATTTCATTTGTCTTCCAATTTTTTTTTTGTTTTGTTTTTAATAGAAATCTTCTCCCTATTACTCATGTGTATATAGAAGAAGGAGAAAAGCCAATGGTGATGCTGCCTTATATGAATTGGGGGAATCTTAAATTGTTTTTACGGCAATGCAAATTAGTAGAGGCCAATAACCCACAGGTGAGAAAAATTTGCTCACATTCCAATTACTTACCAGTAATTTGCAATAGTTTGTTATATATAAACTTTAAAGACCTGCACAAAGAAAATCAGAATGAATTGGAAGAATTTTACATGTTGATTTTGAGAAAAATGAGATGGTTAATGATTTCTTTCTTGAGACTTATACTTGACTAATTCTTAAGTTTTTCATTATATTTCTATTGTGTTCTTATTCTAATAACCTTACATTTTCCATACCACTGTCTTAGTCATTTTCCTGATAACTTAAAAGCACTTATCCTAGGTCTTCCTTCTTGGAATGGAAACAGATTTTACAGATTTTGTCCATCCTGTACCAAATGGAGGTGATGACTGAGTTCTGGATTGTGAGCCATAATTGGATATATTCCTGATCTGTGTGGCTGGGAGATGACAGTCATCTAAGCATTTCTTTCGTATTACTGCCTGTGTACCTAGCTGTGAAGCACTGTTGAGGTTCCTAAGATGTTAGGATGGTAATGGTGGTAAAGCCTATCAGGTTTTGTCATCTGCTGAATTTTGGCGCCTCATTTTATTTGGTCTTAAGATTTATAATAGTATACTCACTGTGAGAACATGAATCCAAAGCCTGCATTGAGTATGTGGCTTATTATATGTAATGTTGATAAACTGACAGGATTAAAGTTTCAACAAGTGGATGAAGGCAGTGGTCCATCATGCCTCAGCCCATAGCACTGGCCTATAGCCAGAAGAGGGTATCAGTGGAGAGAGCTGTAGGCTAGTACTACTTTGGACATGATTATTTAGAGGATAATCTAATAAAACTACTGTTTTTATAGACAAGAACAACTTAAAAATTCAAAATATTATATTGAGAATTTAGCATTAATGGATACATACTGAGTAGTTTCTTTATATATTTGATGTCAGGGAGATATAGTTAACCAATACGAGGAGAGGGTCAAGTAAAAAAACCATTATACAGAATAAGGACTGTAGTTGACATAAGTACAATATAGGGAACTGTGAGAACGCAGGTTTTGTTAAGAGTTAGCTTTTCAAAACTAAAGAAAACAGCTACACCCTAAGTTTTGTGCTATCTGCGAACCTTGTCATTTTTCTGTTACCACAGGCCATCTCTCAGCAAGATCTGGTACATATGGCCATTCAGATTGCCTGTGGAATGAGCTACTTGGCAAGAAGGGAAGTCATCCACAAAGACCTGGCTGCTAGGAACTGTGTGTAGGTGCCATGAGCTCGTCACTGTCACTTGATGGGTGGTGCTCCTTGGATTTGGGGTTCTCTCTAGGAGTCACCCTGGAACTTGTGTTGTACTTAATAGTAAAGGTGATCCATCCTTCTTAATGCCTTGATGGCATTCCATGTTCATGTTTTTTATTTTTCAGCATTGATGACACACTTCAAGTTAAGATCACAGACAATGCCCTCTCTAGGGACTTGTTCCCTATGGACTATCACTGTCTGGGTGACAACGAAAACAGGCCAGTTCGATGGATGGCTCTTGAAAGTCTGGTTAATAATGAGTTCTCTAGCGCTAGTGACGTGGTAAGTGTCGGGACTCCTTATCTCAACAGAAGGGAACAGCATTCTGTTTCAAATGTTTTGCTATTTCAGGCCTTTTCTTTCTTTCTTTCTTTCTTTCTTTCTTTCTTTCTTTCTTTCTTTCTTTCTTTCTTAATCTAATAACTTCCTGCATTTTTTAATTTGGAAAACAAGAATAATTAGCTTTCAGTCATCCAGTTTATAGATTGAAGTTGCGACCCTACTTGTTGGCCAGCACTCTGTATAATCTCCTTTCATCTTTGCATACAGTATGAAGGGAACACTGTTGACACTCAGGTAGGTTCTTTGCAGTTTTAAAGATGAAGAAATAATGAAGGTTAGAGAGGAAGTAGTAACTGATTATTTTTGTTTTCTTACATAAGTCTCAAAATGACTTAAGTGGTTGCAGAGTATAAAGGTGCATGGTTTTTTCAAATGGCCTCTTCCAGATGTTAGAGTCTATGTAATTTATAATTCTTCACATGTCACACTCAAGTCTTGTGTCAGTTTTGTGGTGATTCCACCTACTTAAGCAGATCATATAGTTGGGTTCTTTATACTTAGTAAAACTATAGTTTCTGAAGCTACATCTACCTAGAAGTAGTTTGCAGCTGTTTTTCACTTATGTTATTTTTTCACATTCTAGTTCAAATTAAACTTGATTTAGTGATTTTCCTATCTTTTGCCTGCCATACTTTATTATTGTAACTCTATATTTAGAAATTAGATTGAATCTTTGTTTGTGAAGGTTCCCCTATACACTCATCCAGTGATAATCTATTTGTATTGTTTGTAAAATCTTAAATTACTTTAGAGTTTCAACTTTAAGAATTAAATGTACCATATCATTGTATCTTATGTCTTGGTATATTTTATTTGTACAGTAATTTATATTAATCTTTTATTACAAAGTATATTTAAGGAGTTCTTATTTAGTAATGTATTATTAAATACTAATTATACTAATTGATTATACTAATTAGTATAATTGATTAGTTAATCAGTGTATCTTTTTCTCAGTATATTAATTTTTCTTGGCTGCTATGCCAAATTGCTAAAACCTCAGTGTCTTAAACAGTGGTGAATTATTTTCTCGTGGCTCAGATCAGGAGGCTAGATGTTCAAAATGAAAGTGTAGACATGCTCCCTCCAGAGGCTCTGGGAGAAATTTTGCTTGCTTTTTCCACTTGTGCATGATGGTTGGCATTTGTTGGCTTATAGTTACATCTCTTTCTGTATTTTTCGTTTATGTGTCTTTCAAAAGTCCTTCTGTTTCTCTCTTACAAAAATGACGGGGCCGGGGAGATGGCTCAGTGGAATAAGCGCTTCCCTGGCAAGCACAAAGGCCTGAGTTCAATTCCTGGTTCCGCAAAAAAATAAAATTAAATTAAAAAAAAAATACAAACATGACAATGAGGACATGTAGGACTTGCCTACAAACCCAGAAAAACTCCTCAAGATCTTTAATAAGATCTTTTGCAATGTTGTAGTTTTTATAACATACATTTTTTTTAATAATACATTTTGCCAAGGTGATATTTATAGGTTTCATGGATTAGGACATGGGTTTATCTTTGATCCTATCATTCAGCTTAACATACTCAATAACTGAAATTATCTAATATTTCCTTATTAAATACTAATGCTGCATCTTAAAATCCTTGAAATCAGAATAAGCTATATGCTGTTTACATGTTGTACCTTTCATGTGACAAGTATCTTGATAAAATGTGTTTAATTGATGTGAATAAACAATTTAGGTTTTTCTAAGCTTTTTTTCTGATAATTAAGGTCTGTGTGTGTCTTCAGAATACTTTGTTTTAATTTAAAATCAGCTTTTTTGTGGAAAATAAACTTATTATGTTTATATTTCTTTTTTATTTTTAAAGAGAATAAGAGATAGCAAAAAAAATTAGAAATGATTCACACTTTCACTAAACAAAATGATAGCTCTTCAACAGTGGTTGTTAGATTGCATATTATTGTCTTCAAATTAGTTGTTCAGATTACCAGATATAAGCATGCAAAACTAGTAAAAATAAACAGAAAAAAGAAAAGAATTTTAAACATGAACTGTTCCCTTGCAATAGACTAGTGGAAAACTATCCTGTTTATATGCATATATATCTCCTGCGCCCGCCCGCCCGTCCTCCCTCCCTCCCTCCCTCCCTTCCTTTTTCTCCTTTCCCTCATCCCAATTGTTACTTCCCTTTGAATAGTTTCTTTCCCTTTCATATTATCTATTGTACTCTTTGGATTATTTACTCTTTTAGGTTCTTACACTAGGGAAATGACAGGACATTTACATATGTGGGTCTGAATTTTTATTTATTTATTTATTTATTTATTTATTTTTTTGTGGTACTGGGGATCAAATTGGAACCCTGTGCTTGTCAGGCAGGTGCGTATGCTGCTGAGCTATCTCCCTGGCCCATATGATCTGACTTCTTTCACTTATGTTAGTATGGTTTCTAGTTGTATCCATTTACCTATAAAAGCCTTGAGTTTACCTTTCTTTATAGCTGAGTAATACTCTATTATATAAAAATACCACATCTTTTTTATCCATTCCTTGGTTAATGGACATTTGGAATGTTTCCAAGATTTAGCTATGACAAATTGTGCTGCTATATACCTGGGTGATATATATCACTGCAGTGTGATGTTTTCAGTTATTCCAGAAAAATACCCAGGAAGGGAACGGCTGGGTAGAATTGGGACCTCTAATCCTAGCTTTTATCTATCTATCTATCTATCTATCTATCTATCTATCTATCTATCTATTTATTTTGGCAGAACCAGGGATTGAACTCAGGCCCTTGTGCTTGCCAGGGAAGCGCTTATTCCACTGAGCCATCTCCCCGGCCCTCAATCCTAGCTTTTAGAGGAATCTCCACACTTATTTCCATAGTGGTTGTACCGGTCTATACTCCCACAGTAACAGTGGAGAAGGGTTTCTTTTTCCTCACAACCTCTCCAGCATTTGTTACTGGTTAACTTACTGGTGATAGCCATTCTTCCTGGGGTGAGATGGAATCTCAGTGTTGTTTTAATTTGCATTTCTCAAATGACCAATGATGTTGAACATTTTGTCATATATTTAATTGCCATTTGTATTTCTTCATCTGAGAAGTGTCCATTCATGTCAGAATCAGCATGGTACTGGCAAAAAGCAGACCCAAGAATCAAGGGAACAGATTAGAAAATAGTCACAACTGCAAGATTTCTGGGAAGTAATTTGTACAATGTACAATCTCAGATTATGCATTACTTAATTAATGTACGTGTTTGCTTCTCTTTCAGTAGTCTGTTATACAATAAAAAGTAAAGCCACATTAATATGTTGAGCTTTTAAGAGCTCAAGTCAGCAACTTTGGACATTGCCAGTCTTATGGAAAACCCACCACTATTATGGACTACTGGACTCTATTGGGAGATTCTGCTGAATTCAGGCACCTACAATATTTAAATGACAGTGGAATGCCCTTCTCTGACAAAACTAATAAAAGAGTGGGATAGAAATGAGCAACCCTTTTGTATCTGTGTACTCAAAATAGTTAGGATAGATATATAGCTCCAGTCTTGTAATTCAGTGAATAGAGAGATTTGTTCTAATAGTGTTTGTGGACAGGATATCATGTCTGCATCTTGGACAGTGAATAACCACTAAGACAACAATATGCTATGTATTAATTACTGAAAATATGCCAGTAGTCGGTTGTGAAACTGTCTTACTGATATTTGTTTCTCAAAAAAATTACCAAAATAAATACATAAATAAATAAAATGATAGGATTTTTTCAAAAACACAAATGATTAAATATGTTTTAGGAGTGCCAGAATAAAAATCAAATTAGATATTCTACTTTGAACAAATGAGGTTACGGTTAATGCTACATATATAAGAAGTGTGAACAAAGGTCTCATCTGCTGAGTAGACTGCTAGGTATTAGCATAATATCCATGTTGATACTTGTTTAAGTTAAGTAAAGCATTCAAAAACATAATTGTTACTATTTTTGATACAGTGTCTCACTGTGCAGTTCAGATTCCTACTGACCCTTCTATCTCAGCCTCCCCAGTCTCCCCCAGGTTTTGGCTGGTGCAGCATGCCTGGGGGTTCTGGGGCCATCATGTCATGCAGTACTGTGGATCAAACTTGGGTCCTTGCATTTGCCAGGCAGGCGCTTGTGCCACCAAGCTGTCTCCTCAGCCCCTGGAATTAATTTTCATTGTTATGATATTTTGTAAATTTTGTAGTAGTTCATACATTTTATGTAGGAATCTGCCTGTTAGTATGTAGTACTATCAAATACTTTGTTGTTTTTTCTTTACTTGACGCTTTATTTTTTAACACTGACCATAAGTTATTGGAGAGTAACATAAGAGATTCTTTAAGCTAGTAATTACTTTTAGCATATCATGATTTATTTTACATGAGATGTCTGTGTCACTCAGATTTTTTTAACTGTGATTAATTTTCATACAGTGGCAAAAAAGGTTAACATTTGATGTGATTAACTCTTAAAATGTTCAGTTTTAAAAACTTACTATGTTTATTTCATGCACATAGAGATAAGCATCTTTTTGCTTCAGATAATTAAGTTGTATCTTAGGGCCAGGGAGATAGCTCAGTAGCACTGGCCCTGAGTTCAATCCGCAGTACCAAAAAAAAATTAAGTTGTATCTTTCTGTTTCCTGTAACTATGACGTAACTATTAGTGTAAAAGTCTCACCTGTCATCTTTGAGGTTGAATATTTTTTGAGTTCATAGATTATGTTTAAAACACAAATATTGGGCTGGGGAGATGGTTCAATGGAATAAGCGCTTCCCTGGCAAGCATAAGGGCCTGAGTTCAATCCCCGGTTCTGCAAAAACAAACAAACAAACAAAAATATTAAAGATTGCATTTTAACATTCAGATGAACATATTAACATTTCAGTGAACTTGATCATTCTGCTGTTTCTACTTTGCCTTATGAGTGAAATTGAAGTTTAAAAA